GAGGCCTGGGTGGTTTCCGCCGAGCTGGGCAGGGAGGGCACGGGCGTGGCCGGCGACACCTGCGTCGCCAGGGGGACCGACTCCACCTTCCTCTTCTGCGACCCGCGGGCGGGGCGGGGGGGGGGAACAGACACACACACACGGCAGCTCGTGAGGCGGCGCGCGTGGACACGGCCGCCTCCTCCGAGAACTCCAGCTCGCTCCCGACGGGCTGCGCGCGGGCCGCCCCGGTCTCACCCTACAGGGGGGGGGTTCTGCTGAAGTTCTGGTTTTGCGCCCCGTTTTAACACCTCGGGAACGCGCGAGCGCTCAGGAGTTCGACATTCGCGTCTTCCGGAGCTGAACCGCGCAGAAACTAAGAGCCCGGCCATCGGGACCGGTCGGCGCTGGCGGGGCGGGCCGCTCAGAAGGGTGGGGGCCTGCGCGCAGCCGAGACGCGGGGGCCGAACAGGAGCGGCCCGGGGAGACAGAGAGATCAAACGACACCGAACGCAGGTTTTGCCAGAAACACGAATGCCAGCTTTGAGAGTTTTATGGAATCGGCGCCTCACTGACCAGCCTCTGACATCTCGTCTGCGAGGGAACAGTTTTGAAAGGTGAAGGTGGGATCATTCCTACAGGCTGGAAGGGGCACAAAACGTCTTCTAGACTAAGATACAGCTACAGGAATGACTGTCCCCCAGTATTTGAAACCAGGGCCTTTTACTGAAGTACTGTGGGATTACACTGCACTGGGGACAGTGCTGGGGGTCACAATGCACTGGGGTGTCCAGTGGGGACAGTGCTGGGGGTCACAGTGCAATGGGGTGTCCAGTGGGATCAGTGCTGGGGGTCACACTGCACTGATGTGACAGGGGTAGAAGTACAGTGTGTCTTTATATGAATGTATTATAAGCAAAAGTACAGTTCAATCACATAACACACACCTGCAGGAAGAGCATTCTAGAGCATTTACACAAAGATTTACATTCAAGAACTGCGTCAGACTCGGACAGACCACAGCTTTCTGGCAGGTCATCTGTCACACAAGGGAGAGACTCGGGTCAGAGATGACAACTGCCAGAATGCAGTGGTCTAGTGTCCAG